TATAAATAAATAATCTGTAATTGAATAAAATTAATGCAAAATCAAATGAAAACGCGATTGACAAATCAAACTACATATACCAGCCCCCGTAGCATGAGCACCGCGTTGTGATATTTAAAGCTTTTTATCAACACTCAACTGTCAAACTATATTGTTGTTCAACAGTCGATGTCGATAAATCGCTATAATCTATCGTGTTTCGGTAATCATAGACAGGCTGCAATAGAGCCAAGGGCGGATCCAGCTTTGGCGCCAGGGGGGGGGTCATATAGCCAGCTTTGGCGCCAGGGGGGGTCATATAGCCAGCTTTGGCGCCAGGGGGGGTCATATAGTCGTGGTATATTAAATATTGAAAGTACTTAAATAAAATCCCCTGGGTTTGGTCCATCTGTACCCAGCCCAGGGGGGGGGGGGGGTCATGACCCCCATGACCACCCTCCCTGGATCCGCCCTTGAATGGAGCTAAGGTATGTTATATCGCGTGTTAATCACGTCTAGGTGTCGAGGAGTATATACCGGCACTGGTGCGAGCCATAATCGTTAGTGTTTTAAAAAATTGTGTTGTTACAAGGAATTAGCAGATTTACTGGAACTCGTGGTTTTGCGTTGACGCAAAATATAACATTTATCGTGAAATACATCAATACAAGTGAACAGTGCCAAATATTAATCGTTCACAGTAGGTATGAGCTATTTACTAAATTATTGAGATATCTAAATCATCATTTTATTAATCATGGACTTCGTTTTAGTAGCACCGAGTTAAAAATAATTTTAAAATTATGTTAGAACTGTTTTATATATTTTTTATTTTTATAAGTGAAACAATCTCTTTCAAAAGGGAACATACATACATAATCACAGGCGACGCTAATGTGTTCGTTGAGCTGATTCAATATTGGGTCCAGAGCGCAATCTCTATCTTACTACATATATTGCTTCGCGTCAAGAAGTCATGATTTAGGCTCTGTTATTACTAAAATAAGGTAAAAGCTTGTCAGTTGTTTTATTAATGCATATCAAGTCTAGCTAGACCCAGTAAATCAACGATATTAAATACCCTAGATACACCACGAGCGCTCAAAATGTGTCCCAATCAAGAAGTGCTTGAACTCCACTCAAGCACTTCTTGGTTCACAGTCACGCGCGGATTGTTACAAAGTCAAGATGCCACAGAGCTCCGCAAAATAATGCGAAAATAATACTTAGAGTACGAAAAGTGTCGTTTTTTCGACAGGTATCTTGTCAATGTTTGTTAAAAGCAAATTTTGATCAAATACTTACTATAAACTGATTTAATTTAAAATATTTGTGATATTCAAATGCATGGTCGGTTATACGTCGCCATATAGCCGTCTCTTTTCCTCCGTGCCTGCTATATTGCTAACAGGGCGTTTAGAATTGCGCGTAGAGCCAAAGAACTAAGGTCTAAATTCTTCCGCATATAGCAATAAGTCGTAAAATTTTACGAGCTTGCCTTTCGACCTGTCGGAAGTCCTTGACGTGTATTATTTAATGCGTTGCTATACGTTGTATTTAAGACCTTATACAGTGTGTTTTAAAGGTTATTTAAATACTGCCTCATATTGATTTTGACTACGCGATTTTCTTACGGAGCTCCGTGGATCGTTCAATGTACCTTTTGGACAGGTTTCGGGCACGATTTTGGTCGTGTTGGTGTATCTAGTGTATTTAATATCGTTGCAGTAAATATGCTCGGTTTATGTTATAACAGCACATCATATGCCAAATTGTGTAAGTATTTCGCTTTCTGCCTTTTCTTTAGCTTAATCGGAGAAACGACAGAGATACAGTTATACAATTAGCTCCCTGTAATTTACCAAATCACAAAATTCTGATTTTTGTTAAGGTGACTTTGATAAATATTAAATCCATCCATTAAGGTCGAGTATTGATATCAGAATTTTATTAGTTTGGTTTCTGTTTGTATCTTTAGTAAAAATATTACATTATGGTGCAGTAAATTCTAGTCTCTTCCAATTTTTATAAGTTCGCTCTTTTAAGTAAATAACATAAATTGACAATTATAATAATAAATCTGCCTGTCGAAATCAATCCTCAAAAGTTAAATTCAACTTAAGCGTGATTTTCACAAAACATGTTTGAAATATTAATAATAAAATAATATTAAATTTATATTAAAATTAAATGCATCATACAAATTAACAACCCATTATTAAAAATATTTGCATTACTAACTTTATGAGCATGGTGAAAAATATTAGTAACTACACTAAAGCTGCAGCCAAAAAAATATGTGTGTTATTCAAAGCAAAATATACCGTATGGAACCTCAATACGGCTCATCTTTAAAAGCTTTTAATTAATTTACCAATAGATTTAATGTTATAAATCTTATTTCAATGTTTAATGCATTTTTTAGGAACCAAGATGTTTAATCCGTTAACGTTTTAAAGAATATTTGCTTAAATTCTGTCAACTAATGTAGATGGTTTTCAACTCATTTTCACTAACCAGTCACAGGCCTGTCTGTGTAGAATCATATTTTGTATATTTCCAGTGACAAAACGATGACACACATATTTTTTTTATTTCACTGCAATCCTTAAAATTACAACCTTTAATAAGTACTGTTTTATCGCAGTCTTCCATTTTCCACTTCCATAGAAAAGAACTAGTATGAAATGAAGGCACACATTCATTCATTGCCCAATTCAAGAAAATTGTTTTTTTTTTTTTCTAAATGGCAACTCTGAATTTTTTATCGAATAGGATAGGATAAATAAGAGATTTTAATTGAAACATTCTTTTAGTATCTAAATTGATTCCCAAATTTGATGTCTAAAACTTTACTCGTATTCAAGAAATTCACAAAATTTTTAACACAACCTACATTTTAAGACTTCGAAAATCAAAATGATCTTACATATTATGATTATTTTGTAAATATAATCCATTTAATATGTCAAAGTTTCATAAAAAAAGAATTATTTACGTACAATACACTAAAAGTCTGTGTGCTAAAAAGTCTGTGCTAAAGCACCAAAATATGCAAACACAGATTGACGCATTTAATGTGAGTATACATGGTTCATTCAGTAAGGATAACAGCCGGTATGTCCGGCACCCACTGTCGATACAAAACGGCAAGAAAATTAGAAATTATATACCACTTTACCACTTAAAACAATGGCAATAAAAATAAAGTTTCAAAAATATCATCAATTCGTAGACAGCATATTCTTCAATAACTTTATCATAGAAGACAAATTTTGATGTCGTTTCCAGACTAGCTTTCCGCCTGCGATTTCGCTTGTGTGTCAACTACTCTTTGATCCCCGCTTTAAACCCCTCTAACTTCCTTTTTTCCATTTTACAATTTCCAACTATCATTTATTTACAATGGTGTCAATTCCGGCGTGATTCTCTAAACTTAATAACATCAGTCTCTCCTTTTATTCTGTATAGAGAATGACAAGGATACACTGTTATCAAATTTAAGTTTAGATTTAGAGATACGTGCCAGAATCGACACCAATATCAAATTAAACGATGTTCGTACTTGTAAATTACCGTGACGACAGTAGGCGCTGTAAAGCTCGGTTTTGTATCTACAGCAAGTTCAATAATAAGATTTCGCGACATCCTATCTTCCGACCGGCTTCTTGTGCGGGAATTATCAATTGGCGCAAAATCCATGCGTTCTTATTTAATTTTACTGATTATTTCGGCCTTCAAAAAAAGCGCAATCTACAACCTAAAAAATACTTTCGTGGCGAGAAGAAAAAATAAATAAACCGAGTCGGTGGAACTATATGGCATTATTAAATCTGCGAGCTTACGAGTGAGTATCTCTACCACATGTGTGGAACACATTACAAAAACAGCCTAAGAAATACTAGAGAAAATTCGACACGGATATTAGGGCCGCGGTAGCATAATGGCCAGTGCATCCGCCCGTATAGTGGAGGATGAGGGTTTGAGTCCCGTCTGTTGCCTAATCCGCGTGGAATTCTTTCTAGTAAAATTTTATTAATTTTAAACAGTAAATTTTATAAAATGTATGAGCAACTAACATCGATATAAAGGTGAGCTTTACGTATCATTCTAATATTTGAAATTTTATATAAAATATGATCTTATGTCAAGAAAGTGCAGTTAAACGTACTTAAAACACAGTTGCAATGATTGAAAACTCTTCGTTTGATATGTTGTTCCGATAGAAGATAAATTCGACTAAACTTACGCGTACAAATTGACGCAAAGCCGCCATTGTGAATTGATACTACAGATGGCCTTAATGTTTCAATCTCTTTGACAGCTCCGTAATCGTATCGCATCATCAAAGTTTCTATGAAAGCTAAAAAGCGCCCCTACCGGATGTAAGGACAAACAAGCTCTTTCCATACAAAATTTGATGCTACCGGTGATTATGGATCTGTCAAAATTCGTGCTTGGGCTCTGATATAGGGTGTATTCCGTAATATATACCAGTATACTGGCCAGTGCTAATGACGTCATGGATCGACGCTATACTGGTGAATTGTTCCGAAATATATTGGCCAGTGCACTGACGTCATAAATCGTCGAAATATTAAAAAGAGTGCGAATGAAGAAGATTTTTTATTCACCTCATCAAATAAAAGGGATTCTTTTTGTTCGGATGCCATTATTGTTCTTTAAATAAAAAAGAAATAAAATTCGAATGCATCTCACGCACGCTCGGTCACACGTCATATTCATTTTCCCGGTAAAAATATGGTAGCATACCGGTACAAGATGGCGTCGGATTCGTGACGTCATTACCACTGGTGTACATTTCGGAATACACCCATACTCATCTGGCGACACTAAGAAGTAATCCTGTCATCTTATAACGGATTAAAATTAACTCCCACAATTTTTCCCTAACGCGCCAAAATAATTATGACTTCAAATACGTGTATCAAGTCATAACATCAGCTATGTTTTTGGTCACCGTGACAAATACATTAAGGTTTCGTGGCAGCTGTATTTATTGGGACGCAATTTAGCTATTATCGCTATCAGTAATAGTGGAGCTGGTCATTCTGATGACGGGGTTTTGCGTGGAGTCGCTTGAGTCACATTCTACCATCAGTATGTCGTCGGGACTCTCGTTTCTGTCAGAAATGCTTTCGGTGTACGTGCCAGTCGGGGATTTGTCCTCAATAACAGCTTTCAAATACGATTCTCTGTCCATGACAGCCGTGTCCCTCGCCAGAGCAAGAACGTCCAAAGACATCATGCTTTTTGATTTCTCAGTCTTCGCGATGGGAGGATTAGTGGCATCGAATAAAACTTCCCTGCTTTTAGATTTCGTTTTGGTTAAGTTGGGTTCCGTGTTCCACGTATCGCTTGGAGGTGACGCGTGCTTACCAGTGTTTGTGCTGGTCGACGGAGCGCTGGAATTTCTCGGAGAACTTTCTGTGAATTTTGACCTCTTCTGCTGATTGTTCTCCTTCATCATCAGCAACTGGTCTAGTTTGTTTATGGTTTCGTTCAGCTCCAGGGCCCACGCCTCGTCGGTTTCCACGTCTTTTCGGTCGATCGGTTTGAGGGCTAACTCTCGCACGCGCATTCTCAGTTCCTGCAGACTGCATTCGTCGTCGTTCTCTGCTGCTTTAGCATCGTTCTCGTCATGGACAGGGTCATGTTCAGCTCCGACTCCTGGCTCGCGAGGTCCCACTGGTATCGCATCTTTGCCAGGTGGGTATTCTCCCCTTCGACGATGAATCTCTTCGGAGATTTCCTCGAGAGCCTTCAACGACTTGGAGTAGCGGCCCTTAGCGTCGGCTATGAGGCGCTGCAACTTCTCAATCTTCTCGTTTTGCGTTTGCAACTGTTCGTCGCAGAGCTTCTTCTCTTCAAAGTACAGGCGCGATTTGATGATATTTCGCTTCAGGTTTTCTTCTAATTGGGTTACCTGTAAATAGATAAATGATCAAGGGTTATTGTAATAAGTTTTGATTTCGCTAGATGGAGCTTATATGTATGTGGGTGGATATTGATTAATATGTAATGTATGAGCAACTTACCTTTCTTTCTGCCGTGATATACGCTGCCGCTTTCTTCTGATGTTCTCGTCCACTCTCAGCTTTTCTTTTTTCAGCGTCCATAACCTGAAAATAATAAGAAAAATTAAAGCAAGTTCACAAGCCCTGAACAGATGACATAGGAAACATATTTTGAACTGACTGAATTTGATAATCACTAATCATCATCATCATCTTAAGCCTATTAATGTCCCCACTGCTAGGGCATAGGCCTTTTCTATGGATGGAATAGGGAAATTGGGCCATGACCCACCACGCAGGCTCAGTGCGGATTGGTGAGTGTTAACGACTGTAGATGCAGCCGGGACCAACGGCTTAATGTGCCTTCCTAAGCAAGGAGCTCGAGATAGTAAATTTTGGGTCACCCATCCAATGACCGACCACTGCGAAAGTTGCTTAACTTCAACCTCTAACCACTTGCGCCATTGAGCTGGCGAGTCCATAAAAATGTATGAAAACTACAAGAAATATGCCGGTGGCGGCGTTTTGTGGTTTCGTCATAAATTAAACAATTATGTAACGTAACTAAATGTTACCGATAAAACACCAATTGATCGTGTTGATGCTTTAGTATATACCTTAATGATGGCATGGTTGAGCACCTCCTGCCAGTTGCTGTCGAACTGCCACTCGTCCTGTTTGCTCACGAAGCGCTGCTCGGCGAGTGTCACCGTCTCCTTTGCCGCCGCGTGCAGTTCTGAAAATCAAAGATAAAGGTTAATCGTTGGAATTACTTTGAATGCCCGATGCTGTGAAACTATTTTATTTGATATGGCGTGGCCAACGATATTCAATACCCTAGATACACCACGTGCGCTCAAAATGTGACCCAACCAAGAAGTGCTTGAACACGACTCAAGCACTTTCTGGTTCACAGTCACGCGCGGACCGTTGAAAAGTCAAGATGCCGCAGAACTCCGTGAAAAAATACTTATAGTACGTAAAGTATCATTTTTCGACAGGTATCTAATAAATGTTTATTAATTAAACGCATTTGAAGAAAATTTTGTTCTAATACTTACTATAAACTGATTTAATAGAAAATATTTGTGATATTCAAATGCATGGTCGGTAATATAGCTGTCTCTTTTCCTCGCGGTCCGTATCTGCTATATTGCTAACAGTGCATTCAGAATTGCGCGTAGAGTCAGAGAAATAAGGTCTATATTCTTCCGCATATAGTGGAAGCAATAACTCGTAAAATTTTACAAGCTTCCATTTTGAAATGTCTTTGGCGCTTGCGTTTTAATTAAGACCTTATACAGTATGCATTATAGGTGACTTTCAATGTTTAAATAATGCCTTATATTGTTTTCAACTACGCGATCATCTCACTAAGCTCCGTGGATCGTGTACCAATGTACCTTTTGTACAGGTTTTGGCCACGATTTTGTTTGTGATGTTGTATCTAGGGTATTTGATATCGTCAGGCGTGGCGCTGCATTATGCCCTACTATGTTGGAGGAAATCTGTCAGGTCCGTTTATGTTACGATAGCAGTGTAATTCAGTGGTTCAGCGTGATACCTAGGCCGTGTAAATATTTAGGGTTCCGTAACTCAAAAGGAAAAATGGAACGCTTATAGGATCACTTTGTTGTCTGTCTCGTCTCTCTGTCAACATCCTTTATCTCAGGAACGCGCGTATAGAGTTAAAATTTAAGCCGTATACTCAGCCTGCGGCCCCAAGAAGCTGTGGTAAAATCAAACGTAAGTAAAAACGTAAGAAAAGATACAGCCGTTTACGTTGCGTAACTACTTTATACGGAACGTAAACGTAACAGGACCGACTCGAAGTTGTCTGGCTTTTTTCTAGTATTTATAAGCAATTTCGTTTAGACCATTATAACTATCACACCAAAAGGGAAGTTTTTAAAACTGACTTTCCCAAACTGACTTTTAGTTGTATCTGTTAGGGAAAATGTTTAATCTTTAGCCAGAATGACTTAGCTGTTTGTGTAATTTTGAAGATCTGTCGGCGGACGCACCTACGGATGAGAACAAATATTTTATCAGAATATTTTTATTACTTATCCCAATTCTTATTGATGAGCTCGATCGCAAGTGGTTAGAGCGTTCGGCTGCGATCGTTAAAGTTAGGCAACTTTCGCAGTGGTCGGTCATTGGATGGGTAAACAAAAATTTACTATCTCGAGCTCCTTCGTGCTTCGGAAGGCACGTTAAAATGTTGGTCCCGGCTGCATCTGCAGTCGTTGGCACCCACTAATCCGCGCTGGGCCCACGTGTGGTGGGTCATGACTCAACCTCCCTATTCTATCCACAAGGTGCCTGACCTGTGCCCCAGCAGTAGGGACATTAATAGGCTGGTGATGATGTGATGATGATGATTTATCCTTACTAGTAATATCAACATTATAACAACAGAGGGTGTTGAACTAGAAGGAAAAAAAATACTTAACGCTTGCCAAATTTTCTACAACACACTTTTTGCCTGAAAGTGCTTGACACAGAGTCCAAAATCATATCAACAATAGTTTTCATCGGTGACAAGGTCGCCGCTGATAAAGCCCCGCCTGTTTGCGTCGACTCTATATCTAATCTACACAGCACATTATGTCTGTTTGTACACATTACATCATAGTAACCACTTATTTCGATTGTGTATCCGTAAGGCGTTGAGCAGACGACGGGGCGGGGCAGGCATTTTGTCAGCGAAGCAATAAAGACCGCGTCTGCCCGTCGATGTCTGCGGCTGCCCGCGCCGCGTACACAAAGCACACGACGGGCAGAGGCGGTCAGTTCAGGACGTTCGTTCTAGTGAATATTCCATTACTTAGAAGCGCGTGGCGCGGACTGAGCTGACCGCCCCGCGCCGCCGTCAGCGTTACTGCATATAAACTGGTTTGTATGATCCACGGCGGGCAGCCGCGGACATGCCGCGCCGCCAGTGCCCGCCGGGCACCCAAGGCGCGGTCTTTTTGACCGCTGTGTGCGTTTGAAGTATAGGATTCACTTTGTGCTATTATTCGCGGCGAAATTGACCGGCCCGCCCCGCCCCGTCGTCTGCAAAGCGCCTTATCGTACCCGAAATTAATTTCCATACAATTCACCCGCTTCCCGTGCAATTTTCAGCCGGTCGCGTTTTGTTTTAGGGATTTCACAAAAGTTTGATAAAATACTTTTTTTGTTACATTGTAAACACTTGTTTCCATTAGTGAAGACAATTTGGTATTCAAACCAACGATATTTAATAATATCGTTGATTAAAACAATCGAGTATTATTATATTAGTATTATTATAGTATTATTATTATTAGTATTATTATTATCTTTCTATTTTTATTATATTCATGCTCAATAAGTAGCTCACATTCAATCGCCATAACATTTCATCTTCTACACCTTTACTGGTTGACTGGTAGAGAATGCCTACGGCATAAAGTCCACCATTTACTGTTTCTATGGTAATAAAGTATAAATAACTAAATTATCGCCAAACAGTTTAGATGGTTACAATGCGAGTTTTAATACCGCTTCTTATATGAGAATCGCATAAAATACTATTATATTAGCATGGATGGATGCTGTCAGTTCGGCAGAGGCAATTCACAACATTATATTAACCGGGCTGTCGCTGATAAGTGCCTTCCTGTACCCGTGAAGGCGAGCCGCGCATATCGACTAAATGATTTGTATCAATTTGTTAATGCACTCAGCATATTTACCTATATGAGCTATTTCACAAAACAGCTATTAGATAAACAAATACAATCATCCGTTTCAATTAAAATAGATCCAAAGTTGCCGCTGAACAGAATTGATGGTGCACCTTTTCGGCTTTGCCACCCTTTTTTTTTAACGATGAGAAATCCCTTGAAGGACCGTACCGTGCGCTGGCGAGTCGCACGGAGTGTGTGGAACTCACCCGGCGCGGGATACAGCGCCGGTTCTACCCACTAAAACTCACCGGTACCCACCTACGCCCAATGTGCGTCACGGGATCGGTGCACCTCTCTGTGCGCCATTTCACCGGGACGCCCCCGGGGGGCTCTGCCACCCTAGCATAAGCACGGCGATATTATATAAAACGCGTTTTTTCACGCTTAATTGCCAAATTATTATGAATTTTGACAGTTAAACGCGATAAAAAATGCGACATAATAAACATTGTAGTGCTCATGCTACGGGGGCAGGAACTGATACTTCACATTTTCTCATCACTAACCTAACCTAGTGAAAAGAAGTGACACTTTTGGGCTTAGAAAGTAAAGTTTAGCCGAATTGACCTTTAATGTTTTATTTCTTCAGGAAACATACCTACCTAGAACAATACTGTGTTGGTTTGGCAACCCTAACCTGTAATTCTGTTCTGTTATCTTCACCTGAAACAGTAGCTCTTAATTAAATTAGTAGAATACAAATAATTATAAACCTTTTATTGTATAATATACGTAAACGTTTATTTTAAGTAAATATTTATATCTTCATATTTAGTTGTCTTTCAGATATTGTTTGGCAATGGCTGCATGGCTCTGCCTTTGCCTTTAACAAGATGGGAAACACAGATTTAAAAAAAAATGAGCTACTATCAGTAAGGCCGCCTTTGTTACTTGCATGTCAAGATTCAATCACAGTTTATTTTATGCAAGAAACGACACTTTTTGTGCCTAATTAATCATAGACGTCTACTTCAAATGAAAGTAACAATCTCAAGCGCATACAATACAGCATACCGCGCGCATGAGTATGCATACTAAGTAGTCTAAAAATAAACATGATGAGCATTTCTTTAGAGCTTAGGATTTTTATTGATACGTCCGACATTTGCCGGACGATCTGATGTTAAGTGACGGTGAACTCCAGACGTGAGGATAGCCGGTACAGCAGTTCTACCTGCCACACCAGCCATCCTCAATGTTGCTTCTTCACACTTTTTACCTACATAATTACGACGCGGTCCGTGAGGGCCGCGATAGCATAATTGGTCAGTGCATTCGCCCGGATTGCGAAGGGTGCCGATTCGAGTCCCGTGTGCTGCCTGGTCCGCGTGGATTTTTTTCTAGTTATATTTTCTTTAGATTTTAACATCAAGCAGTTACATGCTTTAAAATAATAAAAATTATAACTACATAATTAGTTCTATTAGTTGTAAGGCATACCTTTATTGAAATAGATGCAGCGTGCACTTTAAATTGTATGGAAACGTAATGGTATACAAGAGATCAAATAAGTGATGAAAGTGAAATATCGTGGGCCCCGGTTCTTACAGCTTAATAAGTATGACATAGGTGTCGATTCTGGCGTGATTCTCTAAACTTAAAACTAAATTTAACATCAGTCTCTCCTTTTCATTCTGTATAGAGAATGACAAGGATATACTGCTGTCAAATTTAAGTTTAGGTTTAGAGAATCATGCTAGAATCGACACCATAGTTAGATATTTTTAAACATTACGAGAACGGTGACGCGAAATAAAAAAAACGACGGGTTGCACTCCGGGAGTGCCAACAGAAGTGAGAACTTACATGAATCAATTTTAAGGGCATGTGTATTGTAAAGAAATCAACTTACATGAATCATATTTAAGCGCATCTAGCGACATCTATTTTAAAAAAAATGCATTTTCTTCGCAATAAAGCTGCCACGTGGACGTCCTACATAGAGACTTATTATTATAATACGGTAAAATAGAATATTACTATGTTTCGTCCAATATATTGAAAGTCAACAATCTTTCCA